GGATTTGTTTGAGAGAACTGACCTAGAAAAATATTTTAGTGTAAATTTATTTATATTAAAAAGCAGTAATAAGGGGGCTGGGGAAATAGCTCAGTAGAATAAGTGCTTGCCTGGCAAGCACAAGGGCCTGAGTTCAATCCCCGGTTCCACCAAAAAAAAATAATAATAAATTCAAATAAAAAAAATAAAAAGCAGTAATAGTATTGGGCAAGTTTGCGGGCCTTAACCATGCTGATGGCACGAAAGAATTCTTGCAAACTCTTTTAGGGTAATATTTTATATAGTTGAAATTGTTTTAATAGCTTATAACATGAGATAGAGACTTTTTCTAGAAAAAGAATTATGTTGGATCTAATTTTATATGCACATACTTTATAATTTGATGGCAGGTAGTAAGGTTTTGAATGATAAAAAAAATTTAAATTTTAAAGTGGTGCTTTGCTTTTACAATCCGAGGTCCGTAATCGTTTTCAGAATCCACTCTGTGCTCTTTCTCTGTTAGCTACCAAAAATGTGCCAAATTACGAAGACAGTAGATTTCTGCCATTCTTTGGCCTAAACTTCCTTTTCTTTTTGAGGTATAAGGATCCACTTTAGGTTTGACTCTGACCCCTCACCTCCAGTCCTAGCAAACACCCAAGGATTTAGCTTTCTGTGTGTCTGGCTTTTCCCTTAGCGTTTCCCTGTGCATTTACGTTTGTAAATTTTTGTATTTCTAGAAAAAGGTAAAAATTTGAATCTTTGTGCAGACTTTTGGAGTAATGACAGTAGCAATAAAGTTAATTTAAATTTCAAATTTACATGTTACAATGAATAAGTGTACTGTTCTAGAGTTTAAAATGTACAGTTTGAGAATACACAATTCTTATAGCTCTGAGCAGTTGTTTTAAGCTGACGAGTACTGGCTCTGTAGTTGCTTTTCTTAGGTCATGATTACTCTAAGGTATCATGTTTCAGTAAGAATGTTTTGCCTAAAATAACAGAGCCAATGATTTTTTGTGACCAATGTGTGCAACTCCTAAAGAGACATTTTATTGTTCATGGTGACCTAAACTGCAGCATTGCAAACCACAAATACGTGTGAATATATATGAAAAAAGCTTAATTTCTTCATATATTTTATAGGTCAGTGAAAATACATGAATGGTGCTGGAAACAGTGAGTTGAGGGTACCAAGTGGTCAGTGGGAGGGAAAAACTTTTAAAATATATAAAAAAGATTTAATATTCTTAAGAAATAAAGAGGTTATTAAACAACACTGAACAGACAGTTGTCCTGTCATATTAGCAAAAATAAGAACTTTCCCCAGCTTGTCATGTATGAAAAATTGTACTGTTACACCGAAAGCAGGCAGGGGTATGGATTGTTGTTAAAGAGACTGTAACGTTTGGCTTTCATGAGGAACTACATCCGCAGCCTCGATGAGTACGTGTGTGTGTGTGTGTGTGTGTGTGTGTGTGCATTCATTCATTCAGAAGCAGGGTCTTGCTGTATAGTTCAGGCTGATCTCGAACACACTGTGTAGCCTAGGCTGGCCTCAAACTTCAGGCACTCTTCTTATCTCAACCTCCTGAGTGCAGGGATTCCAGGTGTGTAATGCCACGCCCCGTCTTGTGTTTCATTTGGAGGCAAGGTTGTGCCAGATTACTGAATTACCCAGTTTGGCTTAAATTTACAATCCTCCTGCCTCAGGTTCTGGGATTACAGGTGTATATCATGTGCCCAGTTTATTTCATACAATTTTAAAAATGCTATGTAGTGAAATGAAAATATTCTGGAATATATGAGTAGTGGGGTTACTAGCAGATGAGATTTTCCTTTTTTTTCCTGCCAGTGCGGGGGATTGATTCCAGGCCCTTG